TCTACTGTAAAAACTTCCTTAAATCTCCTGTTCAGCTCCTCACATACCTCCTGATCATTTCTTGTGAGTTCTCCACCTTCTGTCCTTAATCTGATCACCTGGTCTTTGACTGTTGTCTTCCTCCTGATGTGGCTATACAACAGTTTCGGGTCAATCTTGATTCTCGATGCTATGTCATTTTCATACTGTCGCTGGGCCTCCCTCCTTACCTGTGCATACTCATTCCTGGCTCTGCGACTGATCTCCCTATTTTCGTGTGTTCTCTGCCTTCTGTACTTCTTCCATTCTCTATTGCATTTTGTTTTTGCCTCCTTACACCGTCGGGTAAACCAGGGGCTCGTTCTGGTCTTCCCGTTGTTACTGTTGCCCTTGGGAATAAACCTTTCCAATGCCTCCTTGCATTTTGTTGTTACATATTCCATCATTTCATTTACTGGCTTTCCTGCCAGTTCTCTGTCCCACTGGACCTCCCGCAGGAAGTTCTTCAACCCTATGTAGTCCCCTCTTTTATAGTCAGGCTTTTCCCATTCAACTCCTGTTATTCTCTCCACTTGCAACTCTACTATGTATTCAAAGCACAGAACCACGTGGTCGCTAGCTCCTAGGGGACTCTCATACTTGATGTCCTCAATGTCTGAGCTGCCCAGGGTGAACACAAGGTCCAATCTTGCTGGTTCATCCTCCCCTCTCACTCTGGTAGTGTCCTTAACATGTTGGTGCATGAGGTTTTCCAGCACCACGTCCAACATCCTGGCTCTCCATGTTTCGGGCCCCCCATGTGGCTCCAGGTTTTCCCAGTCAATCTCCCTTCATCTCTGAAAATACTACCATCAATATATTGATGTAATAAAATTGAATATAGTTTGTCCTGTACGGAGATCACATTAAAACTGTTTACTACTGTTTACTACTGTTTATTACTATTTACTACTGTTTACTACTGTTTATTACTATTTACTACTGTTTACTACTATACAGTTAATGTTACTTACAAGAGAGAGCAACTTTGTACCTCACAAGGACCTCATTCCCTGAAACTGATGTCAGTATGGATGTCTACACTATCCCTTGACGAGGCCTGGTCTCAGACCGGGCCGCGGGGGCGTTGACCCCCGGAAACCCTCTCCAGGTATACACAAGCACACGCACGCGCGCTCACACAAAAAAGAACCAGAAGTTCACAATTAACTGTGACAAACATATCCAGTAAATCCAAAAAGAATAAGTAAGATAAAGAATCAAACGTCAATGTTGTTAAAAAATACCATCACTATAGAGCAGGATCAAGGTGCTTATTATTGCTCCACTTCCTGTGCTTATTATTGCTCCACTTACTGTGCTTATTATTGCTCCACTTACTGTGCTTATTATTGCTCCACTTACTGTGCTTATTATTGCTCCACTTACTGTGCTTATTATTGCTCCACTTACTGTGCTTATTATTGTTCCACTTACTTTGCTTATTATTGTTCCACTTACTGTGCTTATTATTGCTCCACTTACTGTGCTTATTATTGCTCCACTTACTGTGCTTATTATTGCTCCACTTACTGTGCTTATTATTGCTCCACTTACTGTGCTTATTATTGTTCCACTTACTGTGCTTATTATTGCTCCACTTCCTGTGCTTATTATTGCTCCACTTACTGTGCTTATTATTGTTCCACTTACTGTGCTTATTATTGCTCCACTTCCTGTGTTTATTATTGCTCCACTTCCTGTGCTTATTATTGCTCCACTTACTGTGCTTATTATTGTTCCACTTACTGTGCTTATTATTGCTCCACTTCCTGTGCTTATTATTGCTCCACTTACTGTGCTTATTATTGTTCCACTTACTGTGCTTATTGCTCCACTTACTGTGCTTATTATTGCTCCACTTCCTGTGCTTATTATTGCTCCACTTACTGTGCTTATTATTGCTCCACTTACTGTGCTTATTATTGCTCCACTTACTGTGCTTATTATTGCTCCACTTACTGTGCTTATTATTGTTCCACTTACTGTGCTTATTATTGTTCCACTTACTGTGCTTATTATTGCTCCACTTCCTGTGTTTATTATTGCTCCACTTCCTGTGCTTATTATTGCTCCACTTACTGTGCTTATTATTGTTCCACTTACTGTGCTTATTATTGCTCCACTTCCTGTGCTTATTATTGCTCCACTTACTGTGCTTATTATTGTTCCACTTACTGTGCTTATTATTGCTCCACTTCCTGTGTTTATTATTGCTCCACTTACTGTGCTTATTATTGCTCCACTTACTGTGTTTATTATTACTCCACTTCCTGTGCTTATTATTGCTCCACTTACTGTGCTTATTATTGCTCCACTTACTGTGCTTATTATTGCTCCACTTACTGTGCTTATTATTGCTCCACTTACTGTGCTTATTATTGCTCCACTTCCTGTGCTTATTATTGCTCCACTTACTGTGCTTATTATTGCTCCACTTACTGTGCTTATTATTGCTCTACTTCCTGTGTTTATTATTGCTCCACTTACTGTGCTTATTATTGCTCCACTTACTGTGCTTATTATTGCTCTACTTCCTGTGTTTATTATTGCTCCACTTACTGTGCTTATTATTGCTCCACTTACTGTGCTTATTATTGCTCCACTTACTGTGCTTATTATTGCTCTACTTCCTGTGTTTATTATTGCTCCACTTACTGTGCTTATTATTGCTCCACTTACTGTGCTTATTATTGCTCCACTTACTGTGCTTATTATTGCTCCACTTCCTGTGTTTATTATTGCTCCACTTACTGTGCTTATTATTGTTCCACTTACTGTGCTTATTATTGCTCCACTTACTGTGTTTATTATTGCTCCACTTACTGTGCTTATTATTGCTCCACTTCCTGTGTTTATTATTGCTCCACTTACTGTGCTTATTATTGCTCCACTTACTGTGCTTATTATTGCTCCACTTACTGTGCTTATTATTGCTCCACTTACTGTGCTTATTATTGCTCCACTTACTGTGCTTATTATTGCTCCACTTACTGTGTTTATTATTGCTCCACTTCCTGTGCTTATTATTGCTCCACTTCCTGTGCTTATTATTGCTCCACTTCCTGTGTTTATTGCTCCACTTACTGTGCTTATTATTGCTCCACTTACTGTGCTTATTATTGCTCCACTTACTGTGCTTATTATTGCTCCACTTACTGTGTTTATTATTGCTCCACTTACTTTGTTTATTATTGCTCCACTTCCTGTGTTTATTATTGCTCCACTTACTGTGTTTATTATTGCTCCACTTCCTGTGTTTATTATTGCTCCACTTACTGTGTTTATTATTGCTCCACTTCCTGTGCTTATTATTGCTCCACTTCCTGTGCTTATTATTGCTCCACTTACTGTGTTTATTATTGCTCCACTTCCTGTGCTTATTATTGCTCCACTTACTGTGCTTATTATTGCTCCACTTACTGTGCTTATTATTGCTCCACTTACTGTGCTTATTATTGCTCCACTTCCTGTGCTTATTATTGCTCCACTTACTGTGCTTATTATTGCTCCACTTCCTGTGCTTATTATTGCTCCACTTCCTGTGCTTATTATTGCTCCACTTACTGTGTTTATTATTGCTCCACTTACTGTGCTTATTATTGCTCCACTTACTGTGCTTATTATTGCTCCACTTACTGTGCTTATTATTGCTCCACTTCCTGTGCTTATTATTGCTCCACTTCCTGTGCTTATTATTGCTCCACTTCCTGTGCTTATTATTGCTCCACTTACTGTGCTTATTATTGCTCCACTTACTGTGCTTATTATTGCTCCACTTACTGTGTTTATTATTGCTCCACTTACTGTGTTTATTATTGCTCCACTTCCTGTGTTTATTATTGCTCCACTTACTGTGTTTATTATTGCTCCACTTCCTGTGCTTATTATTGCTCCACTTCCTGTGCTTATTATTGCTCCACTTACTGTGTTTATTATTGCTCCACTTCCTGTGCTTATTATTGCTCCACTTCCTGTGCTTATTATTGCTCCACTTCCTGTGCTTATTATTGCTCCACTTACTGTGTTTATTATTGCTCCACTTACTGTGCTTATTATTGCTCCTCTTCCTGTTTAACTACTGTGCCCAGTAAAAATAACTCACAATAACTCGCTATTCACACAGGTCCTCATTCTTCTCCCCTACCTAGTACGGTAGTAATAGATGTAGAGAGACGTATAACTGGAGTATACCTGGAGGGTGTTTCGGTGGATCAGCGCCCCCGTGGCCCGGTCCATGACCAGGCGTCGCTTGAAATGTAATTGTGGGATTCTCCACTTGTACACCGTGTGTAGGTTGAGCTAAAGACTCCGACAAAAAATCTGTATCAAAAATACACGGGAATATGTAGTGTCCGACACACTCGAGTATGCGCCAGGGTAATCTAAGCTGACCCTGTAATTAAGTCAGTCTGGGCAACCTGTACACTCTCTTCCTCACTTGCTACGGTGTTTGTACCGGCGCTTGACAAACCTGTGCTAAACCTGACTGTTAAGGAACATTGTGTGGCGACCCTCTCCACCTCCCTCCCGCCAGGAAAAATCGCTTTCGACCCGCCAGAGATTAAGATTTTGTTCGGATTTTTAACCCGGGGAGGGTTAACCACCCAGGATAATCCAAAAAAAGGCAGTGTGTCATCGAGGACTGTCTGTCTTATTTCCATTGTGGTCCTTCAATCTTGTCCCCCCCAGGATGCCACCCACACCAGTCAGCTAACACCCAAGTGCCTACTTCCAAGGAAAAAGAAAACACAAGGTGTAAGGAAACACGCTCAGTATTTCCACCCGGCCTACTACTGAAAATTTGTGTGTCACACGTCAGTGGCCCTGAGTGACGGTCACATGTTATTTAATGCTGAGTTGCTGCTTGCCAGGAATTTTAATTTTATTATAGAACTCTTATTTGTTTCTGATATTTATAATATTGACAATATCCAGTGAGAGCAAAAGGATGAATGTGATGAAATTTGATTTACAGATGAAATAAGGATCCAAGGAACGGACAAGGTCAGGATCAGCCGGCTCTCTAGCAGCTGAAATTCTGAAAGATGTTGAAATGTGTGAGTATCCTGTGTGTGTGTGTCTCCTGGATCAGTCTTGGATTCTCCCAGAGGGTGACCAACATGGGATCCTATGGTGTCACAAACCAGTTATACGATAACGCAGCTGTTCTTGCCTCTGTTTACACCTCCAGTAACAACCTGGAGACCGTCCAGCTTCCTGCAGGTGAGGATGTCTAGGTTTTTGATCTTCTAAATAATGGCGTAAATAAAATCGGTTTTACCTAAACTTGTTGTAGTCTGTAATCTACATAGTTAAATATTTACAAAATACAATTTTTTGCAGAGAAGTTATCACAATTCTGTCCTCAGGGATGAATGTGCAGGAGGCACTGTTGTTTTGTCAGTACCGTTGTCTTCTCCGCTCTCAGTGTGCCTCCTTCGTCTTCGTGAAGACGGGCACCACTTGTTACCTGACCTCCTTTAATCGCTGTGCCAGTCCCAGCGTGCTTTTATACTCGGCGCCTGGCATGCAAACGTACGATGTAAGGCCTGGAACACTGAGTAAGCCAATCAGCACCTGCTACAGCGCTTGTACTGGCACTTGCCAAGCTTGTGGAAAGCCTAGTTGTGCAGGAGTTACCTGTAACGACTGTGCTCACGCCTGTTGGAACTACCAAGTTTACAACATTACAGGTAGTCCTACCCTTTGGATGGATCTGCAGTTGAGCCAGACTGTAATTCCCCTTTGCAATAAAGGCTGGCAGTTGATCTGGGGCTACGCCAACAACTTCTTGGTGTACCCACTACTGTTCTCGGCACCAATGGTGCTCCGCTTGGCTATCATCTACAAGGACTCCACTGTCCGCTACTCTTATTTCAACAGCTTCACCTACCAGGCACCTTACACAATCGCCGTTGGGGCCTTCCTGGGCGGCCAGGCAGGAAACTACTGGCAGGCTCCCTTCAATAATGTGACGATGCTCTATCACTCCAGCTGCCCTCTCTTCTATCCTACCGTCAACACCACCTGCATTCCGGGAAGTGGACTCAACTCCAGCTTCGTGTGGCTTACGGGATCCAGTGCTTTAGACGCCAACGATAGCGCTACCAACAACACCGTCTCCGGCGTGCAGCTCTGGATCATACCGAAGGGTATGGAGTGGTTCGATTCGAAATTCGTCAGTGTAAATGCTACCGCTGGCAATGTAACCACGGGGTGAGTCACTAACTGAATCATCAATACTGGGCAGACATACAGCCAAGGACGCTACCGGGAACAACTCGACTATGGACACTAATGGAAGTCTCAGTATTAGGCACAAAATGGAAAAGACCAACCCTGATAACATAGATGAAAGGAAACGAGTGGATACATTCAGGATATCTTTAATGGTTAAGTTACGGTCTTGGGACCTCCATCACTCTAACTGATAAAAGAGAATGCAAGTCCTTGGGAATCAGATCTTGTGAAGGCGTTCGGTCAGCTTAATACCATGTTATTTGCAGCAGGGAATCACTAAGATATCATCATCTGTGCAATGTAGTTGCCAGCCATTTGATCTGTGGTGCTGGAAGTAGCAATTAAGGATGTATCAGTACAGTAGCACCTATTACTTTTGGACTCTTCGCAGATAATTTCCTCATTGTTCCCGAGCATGAAATGGCTTTCTTGAGGTGACCTGACAGCTTCACTTGACCACCTACATTGACATGCATTCTCCACTGTATATCGTATTTGGTCACTAATTTGTATTATGGGAGACCAAGGTCCCAGGACACGTAAGCAGTAAAGATGTCCTAAGTGTATGCACTTGTGTCCTTTCATACAGATGTATTTACTCGCGAAATGTAATCATAACATTACTGCACCACTTCTGTTTTCCGCTGTATCACAGTAATTAACTTCTCCTTGTGTGTATTCAATACTGTATCACCATAGTGGCATTTTCAATATCTCCAGTGGAAATTAATCCCATTGTAAGATTTCACTGGTTTACAGGATGTATACACCAAGAGGTATATTTCTCTCAACGTATAAATGCTGACGGTTTAATTTAATCCTTTTTTGAAGAATTAAAGTTATTATTTTTGTCTGTTGGTGAAAAGGTTAAATGTAGCCTTTATGACGCCAGTGTAGTCGATAGGCTTCAAACCCCATTAACCAACCTTACGTATTGTGTTATCTTAGGCTCAGGTCAACATAATTTACTATGTGACTTTTAAGAGTTTTATATATATATATATATATATATATATATATATATTTATATATATATATATAGGCCAAATAAACACTGTATACATATAGTACTACAGTATATTGTTATATGAGTACATAGTTATTAATGCCACACCTTACTATATTATTGTATAATTGCATTATATTATCACAATTTATTGCATCCCTGAATTATGAACAAGATTACATTTATATGCCTGGGAAGCACTGTCATAACTTCTACGCACGCTCGTGCGCGTGCGTGCGTGCGTGCGTGCGTGCGTAATGCCCGGTCCTGGATACGTTGTACCTTCAGTGTTTTGGTCTTAGCTGCCAGTGTTAAGGCAAGTGGAATGTAAGTGATGAGTGCTGCGTGTAGGTGAAGGTTGGTGGCAGGACCTGCACCTCTCAGTTTATAGAGCTGAGAGAGTGCAGTCCTAGCAACAGCTGTTTTGGAAGTGATGAACTAACGTGAGTGTAGCACACTGTTTTTGTCCACATTTAAGCTAGGTAAATATCAGCCACCGTAATGTACCATGATATTTCTTAATTTAAAAGGTTAGAAGAAGTGAGCGATGGGAAGGCCTCGATTAACTGACCTAAATCTCAACTGAGCAACCCCTCAAGGGAGGTTCCTTGACGCTGGTGAGGGGCTCTTGATCTAGGGAATTGGATCTGTGTTCCAGTTCCTTGAAATTAGCCTGAATACCTTTCTTCCCCCATATGCTGTGTATAATCCTATGGGTTTAACGCTCCCCCGTGATAATAATAATCAACTGAGCAAGTGATCATTTATCTAAGATTGCGTTAGAAAAAAAAAATAAAAATCACCTGATATCGAATATATTTAAGCAAGTTACTCATAAAATTTGTCATTTTTTGTTGAATAAATAGAAAATTGTAATGATAAATAAAGGGATAACTTCTTTAAATATCATGTATTTGTAGAATTATATTGATATGACAATATAGATTAAAGAACATTAGTTCATATATTCAGGCTATCTCTATTGGAAACGTTACTGTCTTGGGACCTCGGTCACTCCAAATTATAAACTAGAATGAGAAAACACAGTATCCATATAAATGAGAATGCAAGTCCTTGGAAAAGGTCAGCTGAATTTGTCCGGTCGTCTCATTATGTTACAATGAGGTAGTATTGTCTGTGCAAGAGTGTCCTGAGATGTAATTGCCAGCTATTTGATCTGTGGTGGTGGGAGTAGCAGTTAAGGATGCACCAATACAGTGGTGCCTTAATAGGCGGCACTGTATTGATGCTGATTTCTTCATTGTTCCACAAGATAGTTCCTTAGATCTGTATAAGACACAAGCATTACTGCTGTCGTCCCCGTTACCCAAATTGTGGTGTTAGATCCGTAAGGAAATATTCCTTCCACTTCTGGAGTTTACCTGGAGTTTACCTGGAGAGAGTTCCGGGGGTCAACGCCCCCGCGGCCCGGTCTGTGACTAGGCCTCCTGGTGGATCAGCGCCTGATCAACCAGTAGATCTTGTGTACATATCTACTTTTCTGTTGTGTGTCACTGGGATCTTTACATAAATAACCTGAACAGTGTGTGACGAGTTAATGGTCCAAGTCGGACCGAAAAGTAGTTATAAGTTATTCTCCCTTGTGCGGTTTATTTGTCTTATTTCGGTCACGTATTGTGCCTTTTTATTCTTTATTGGGATCTTTCCTCCTGGTGATGTCTAGTGGAAGAAGTGGTTATTGTAGAAACATGGTGCTTTTTGAAGGAACCTGCGCTGTGTTGCTGGCAACTTCTCCTCCAGGTAGAATCAACAATCTGGTTTTCTTGGTGACATAGTTGGAAATGTTGAGTATAGTCTTAGTTCAGCATTCACAATCCCACCAGGAAGAAAACTCCACTGAAACTCATAGTTGTAAAGGAGGAGTTTAGGCTGTGCCGTGTGGCAAGGTACAACAAGATGTAAGTAATACAAGGATGAAGTTTTCCACACGGGTTTAAAACACACTAATGAGTGTAACCGTGACAACAACACTGCCAGTTTCTTACATAGATCTGAAGGCGGTCATCTGATGCACTGAAACGGAGCAGACAAGATCTACAGCTATTTCCAACACCGTAAAACAAAGAGCTGATAAATGCATCATCTTAAGACTCACTTGCACAGAGATACTACCCCACACTGACTCCCTTCTGCCACGTAACAATGCAATTAGATGATGACTGCGTCACTTGACCACCTCCGGTGACATGCATTCTCCACTATACTTACTGTTTTCTCATTCTCTTGTATCGTCTCTTATTTTCATTAATAAGATATCTTGACATGTCACATAGGTTATTATACTGTCTGTCTCTGTATTCCTCAATAAGTGAACAATTAAGCACATAGTGTTCAAGAGAGTGACCATATGCCTGATCACAATATTACCAGATATACTAAGCAAATTTCCTAAATTTGCTTGTAACAGATAAGTGAACTATAGATATGTAGATATAAATCCATATGTATTCCTGTTAACCCTTTGGGGCCTAGTTCCTAGGCCTTTTGTGTATCCATATGCTCTCGCGCTACCGTCCACAGGATAGATATGGGGTGCACAATAAACTAGCCACTTCGGTGGCAAAATCTAATCTTGTATCGTCTGGAGTGACCAAGGTCCCAGGTTAGACACGTATCCAGTAAAGATGTCTTTATATCATTGCTGTACTATTGTACTATTTTCCACTTTATCAGTCAGTGTATTTACCTAACCTTGTGTGTATTCAGTGCTGTATCACCTTAGTGGTATTTTGTATGACTCCAATGGAAATAAGTCCCATTGTAAGACTTACAAGATGTACACCAAGAAGTGTATTTCTCTCAGCCGTGTCATGGACCGGGCCACGGGGGCGTTGACCCCCAGAGCACCCTTCAGGTATACATGCTGAGAATTTACTTTAATTCCTGTTTGAAGAATTAAAGTATTCTTATGCGATAGTGATAATGTTACGTTCACCGTTAATGATTCTAGTGTAGTCAAGAGGCTTCAAACCCCTTTAACCAACCTATTGTTATTCTAGGTTCAGGTCAACATAATTTACTCTTAAAATGTGATACCATTTTAAGAGTTAAAAAATAAGAATACACATGTGATGTGTTATATGACTGCAGTTGGTATTCTAGTTATCGTATTGCCTCACCTTACTATTGTATTATTGTATAATTGTATAAGTGCTTCGCTGTATGACAATACAGTGGAACCCCGATGTTTGTACTTAACTGGCTCCTAGGTAGTGTTCAAACTGCGAAAAGTTCGATGTCCGAAAGAGCATTTCCCAGGCTTTATCAGCCTCACATACTGGAGGATGTTGAACTGACTCTTCCAAAAGTCTCTGAGTCAGAGGTCACTTCAAAACACTTTTGAAACATGGCTTTCCTGAATTTTAAACAAATCAGAGTGTTCAGACTCCAGAAAAACGTTCAAAGACCGATTCAGTTTTTTCTGAACAAAATTGTTCGGACTTTGGTTCGTTTCGAACACCGAGGTACCACTATCTCAGAATAATTGTATATTATTTTCATGGGGAAGCACTAAACTCTTATGGGTCTTACAGCGCTAGGAGAAACGGGAAACAATCGGGTGTGATTCAAGGAAATGGAGGTTTGCTCCATTGCCTTGCATCAAGAACCCCGTGGATTTTCAGCTTTCATTTACCACTCCATCGTCTTCTCCTTGTTCTTCCTATCAGTCTATTTTTGTCCCTTGTATTAATGCTTAGAAGTATCTTTTACATCGTGCTTATGTCCCCCTTTGTTACCCTCGATTTTTTTTCATTTTCATTTCTGTCACCTCTGATTCCCAACCAGGGGGCCGCGGACCCCTTGTAGGGGCAGCGGACCTCTGGGTGTGTGTACTCACCTATTTGTGGTTGCAGGGGTCGATTCACAGCTCCTGGCCCCGCCTCTTCGCTGATTGCTACTAGGTCCTCTCTCTCCCTGCCCCATGAGCTCTATCATACCTCGCCTTAAAACTATGTATGGTTCCCGACTCCACTACGTCACTTTCTAGGCTATTCCATGGCCTGACTACTCTATGACTGAAGAAATACTTCCTAACATCCCTTTGATTCATGTGTGTGTGTGTGTGTGCCCTCAAGAGAGATAGGGGTTCTTGATCCAAGGAACTGTATCCATCTTCCTCTTCCTTGGATCGCACCTCATATGTCTCATTTCCTTAAGGCGCTGTGTAACCGCTTTCCAAAGATGATAAGTATAATAATTACAATAATAATAATTATCATTAGTCTTTTATTCCATTTTTTGTTCAATATTTTTCCTCTTGCTAGAGACGGTTGTGAAAATGTTTATTTTAGATCAAATTATTGCTTCGTACAGCCACGACAAAAAGCTATTTTACCATAAATTGTCAGTGTAATCACTAGACAACCACTGACACGCTGGACTCCTCGCTGCATACCTTGTTCCTTCATTACGGGGAGACGTGATACCAATTGAGGGCTCTTTATTAAAAGTGTTGGAGTCTACCCTTCCCTTATTCGGATCAAGTCACTTTGCCTACCATTCCCTATGCACTTTGCTACTCCTGTGGCTTAAGCGTTTCCCCTGAATAAAAATTATTTGACAGCATTTTACTCGCCCTGTTTGTCTAGAAACTACGTGGAGAGTGTTCCTAAGAGTCATCGCCCCCGCGTCCCGGTGCCAGACTAGGCATACTGATAAGAAATTAATTAAAACATGAGGTTGATTAAAAAACCAGAAGGCGTCCAGATCTATGAGGCCTGGTCTCAGACCGAGCCGCGGGGGCCGTTGACCCCCGAAATCCTCTCTAGGTATACTCCAAGTATCTAGCGTAAGTTGTGGGTAGCCACAGCCTCGGAGAAGCGCAGGTCTGAGCACAGCTCAGACCTCTACAACAAAAATTGCCCTCAAAGATTTGTTTAAGTTATACCATGAATTCCCCTCAAGGAAGGTTCCTTGATGTTGGTGAGGGGCTCTTGATTTAGGGAATTGGATCTGTGCTCCAGTTCCCCGAATTAAGCCTGAATGCCTTCCACATCCCCCCCCAGGCGCTGTTTAATCCTCCGGGTTTAGCGCTTCCCCCTTGATTATAATAATAATATACCATGAATTAAGGAAAGATCCTGAACTTCACTTTACGAAACAAAGGAAATGCGATAGTAATTATGGACAAGGTGGATTATAGTGGAAAAATGAACGTGTTATTAGAAGATAAGGGTACCTACTAGCCTCTTAACACTACAAAGAAACGTTTGGTATATTTTCACGTGGTGAATATCCCTTGAGGGGGCAGGCCTTGATATATGCCGATATACGTGCCGATATACATGCAGATATACATGCAGATATGTGTAATGTGAGAGATATACGTAAACCTGCGGAGATACACATGTACTTGCGAATATATGCATATTTCTGCTAATATACACATACACGCATGAATATATACGAATTTACTCAGAAATACACGGTCATGTGTGGATATGCACAAATATACACGGATATTCATGACTAAACACCCAGTAATATATGGTAATATACATGAATATACGTGATTTACGAATATCCTCGGTATAAGTGGATATACACGGAGGAGGCAATCAGATTCTGTCCAAGGATGGGGAGGGTTGCTCCGTTTCGTTGGATCAAGAGTCTTTCACCGCCATCAAGCTCTCAATACACCGTGGCATGGTATTTTTATCCAGTCATTCTGAGGGACATTGAAAGGTAACTAAAAAAATTATTTAGAGCTTAAGTATCATTATTAACAATAAAACCTTCAATATTACCAATATTTATTGTCCACTGAAGCAAAAATTATACATTATATATATATATATATATATATATATATAATATAATATATATATATATATATATATATTATATATATATATATATTATATATATGTATGGTGGCCAGAATATTGAACAGTATTGACTGATTACAATTTTTTTTGAGTATCTTGGTCTTTTAGACCACTAAGAAAATGGGCTAAGAAGCTGAAATGTTATATAGATCTTCAAAACGAATAAGGAAACATCATGTCAATTTCTATGCATTTCCCTTAAGTCGTTTAGAAGATATTGCTACTGGATGATTGGATAACTTTTTTTTTTTTTTAGTCACCCCTCGCCTTGGCTGGGTTCAAACACGCTTTGCTTCCTTGTTTGAAGTCATAGGGTCAAACCTATAGCGTTTGTCTATAGTGATAACGCGATGAGAATACAGTATATGGGTTAAGGAAATTTATACGGTCGTCTTAGAGACAACCACACGTCTTGACAATCATCTTCGGGTACTTCTTCAAGACAATGTTGTTCTCGTAGAATAATACAAGACTGGGATGGTGGCCAGATCGATGGGGGCGCAACAGGCGTTGGGCGGTCGTTCTTGGTCCTCAGGAACACCGTCCACAACCTTGACCAGCGTCTGCACGAGGGCGTGGTTGGTGGCGTTGAGCTCCGCCTGCAGGGGAAAGTGGCAGTGTCCCTCGCAGTAGTTGGCGTCGTAACCCTCAGGAGCAATGACCCAGTTCTCCCAGCCGAGGTCCTTGAAGGACACGTGCAGATGCTTCATGCGACACAACGTGTCGGTCACCAACGGTCGATCCGCGATGTCTGCAACACACAATTTTGTTTAAGGGGTAGCAGCGCCTGGGAAATGGAAAATTGTTAGTTTTTGTTTTTAGGAAGCCAAGAATAGTACCAATTCCTTGGATCAAGCCACCCTACCCTTCCCCCGAGGGGAATGGAAGGGAGATTCAAGCAGTGTAAAAAGTTCTTTTAAAGTACAAGTTTAGTGAATCTCCTGGAGATTTTAACCTAACTACAGATAGGATAAATCAGCCAAGTAGGACCGAAACGCTGTTTTTCATCCAATCCCAGTTACCATAGTGGGTTAGTTGAGTCTTATTCTTTAATGGTGAAGATCAGTTAGTAGTGAAGGCTCGATCCTTTATCTGCAAATCGCGAGACAGACGCCCTAATTACCTGGGATTCCCATCGCCTCATTGTACTCAATAACATCTCGAAGTACTGAAGCTAAGGATCTGATGCCTACCTCTGTAGCTCCTGGGCCTGCTACTCGGAGGAGAGGCGACGGACCTGGTGGTGCGGATCCTCTTCTTCTTGTAAGAGGAGGACGGCAGAGCGAAGAATCCAACCATGAAGGGTCGGTAATCCTCTTGATCCTTTGATCCTGACACACCCACCTCGTGGAACCGATGCTCATGTTCTGTTGAAGCAAAGAACAGTGAGGGAGAGTATAAATGAGAGAGGGTGAGGGAGTGAGAAAGTATCAAACTAAATCGATGTGGAGTAAAGCAGGAAATATGAGAGGCTATGGTTAGGATGGCGAAGATAGACAATGAACTTAAGACTGTAGACTGTAGAGGATGACACACACACACACACACACACACACACACACACACACACACACACACACACACACACACACACACACACACACACACACACACACACACACACTCACACACTCACACTCAAAAACAAAGGTCTGATGTCATTCCTTCAGCTTTCACATACGGGCAAGCATGCACAGCAGAAGGAAATATATAAAACAACAGATACGAATGACGGGGTAGTGTGTGAAGACAACAGTGAAGGGAAGGTAAATGGAAAGGCAGAAAAAAAAATCTTATGATGCTCAGAAGGATAACCCATGATGAAAAATAACAGACGTCTACCCACAGAGACATCAGATGAACAAAAGATAGATATAACGGTTGTTGGTGGTTAGTATTTTGTTTTTCAGGAGAAATATGAACATTTCTGTTGATGTAGGTCTTCAAGGACGACCAGGACACTCGCTACAGTCCGGGAAAATTGACTGCAAAGTGAACCCGAAGCTGATGTTCGGACATAGTCACACAAACAGGAGAGGACCAAAATACAAACCCCAAAAACTCCAGATACTAACTAGGATGGAGGTGGTGACTGCCAAGCGGAATAATATTAACACTCACGGTTACAGGAAAGAAGCATGGAAAAAAAGCACTAGGAATTCTTAATACTGCGATTCAAGGCAGTGACTGCCTAGCGAGATATAAACACACACACACACACACACACACACACACACACACACACACACACACACGAGTCCAGGGATGTTAGGGAGTATTTTTCAGTCTAGATGCCAAGAAGTGAAGCAAACGAGGTGAGTAGTGAGGCAGATCCATACATAGCTTCAGAAGGTAAAAATTCAGGAATAGGAAGATGTGAACCTAGTAGCGACCAGCGAAGAGCGAGCCAGGACTGTACTACACAATAGGTAAGTACAAGTAGGTGATGACACACGCTGCATTAATCATCAAATTTTTTCGGAAGAGCTAAATCGTATGGGTCATTCAAACGCAAGGAAGGGTCGAGTTCGATCCTCCAATGCTATTCGTTTTAGAACCCTTCACCAAAGTTCAAAAAACCCCATCCGTTCCCTGAAATATTATATTAATCACGACGGTCGCACAAAAGAGAGGACTCAGGGAAAGAATAATCCCTCCCTAGGAACACCGTACTCACTGCGGCCAAGGATGTACGCCAAGCGGATAGAATCCATAATTCGTGTTTGAAAATTTACCGGAGATGCATCAGGAACTGTGATCTTAAACTCACCCTCACAGCATTCCAGCGTACCCGGTTCCACTTCATGCTGGCTGAGCTCCTAAATAATAATAAATAATGAATATATAATCAGTAATCGAATAATGAATGAATACTTCCAAAGTACATGGACGACATAACAGAAGGGTGTAGCCATTCTACTTTTTTCTGAATGCTTTCTAACTTTGATCTAAACTGAAGTTTCAGTGATAGGTATTATAATAATTGATAATTATAGCAGCAGTAACTAACTGCGTTGTTCATTCTAATTTATAAATTATAGTTCTAACTCAGTATAAAAAATGTCACTCGTATAATTTCAAATTATACATTCTAACTCATAGCTTCTAATTATTATTTAAACAATACATTGCAATTAGTATATAAACACCTTAACAAATTATGCAATAGAATTAAAAAGATACATTTTAATACCAATCCGAGCATTTTAAATATTCATACAATATACATTTAATTCACGTTCACTTACGTAATTTCTAAAGATACTTGCAAGGATACCACTGTGAAAAGACAGTAACAGCATCTACTTCGACAGTGGCTGAAAGTACTCGAGAGCTGTATAGCTGTTGATTCATAGTGGCAATCTGCATATCTAAACTCTCCTTACATTGCCGTAAACTTTGGCCTCTTCTTATTCCTCTGAAGATGCGTGTGCAAGCACGTGAATGCGATTGGGTTTTATTTTCTGTTTTTACTGTGGTATTTTTGCATATTTGCAATCTCGCGTTTTATTGTGATTTCTTATTTTTGCATATTTGCAGTCTCGCGTTTTATTGTGATTTCTTATTTTTGCATATTTGCAGTCTCGCGTTTTATTGTGATTTCTTATTTTTGCATATTTGCAATCTCGCGTTTTATTGTGATTTCTTCGGTTGACTTCTAGTATTTATCTGTTCCGTCAGTTTCAAAAGGGATATGTGACTTTCTCTTAAATTCACAAGTACATAGACATACCACACACACACACACACACACACACACACACACACACACACACACACACACACACACACACACACACACACAAGGAGCTTCGACTCGACCCCTTCAACCTCAACTATGCGAGTACACACACCCTTGATCATCGTTGATCATGTAGACATGTAGGTTGATTGGTTCGTCGTAGTGGTCGCTGCGGTGAACCTGGATTTCTGCTCCCAGCAGAGAGTGATCCAGGGGCACATCTCGAACATCGAAGTACAGTCGCTTGTTTGCCCCGTGTAGCGGTCTGCGGTCCGGTGGATCTGTGGAAGCAGTCAACACTGTATTGAGACGCTGTTGTAAATACTACAGTATTGTAGTTATACACTTGCTGTATATATATATGCACTGATGTTGGAGTAATGATTGGGTTTGCTATGAGACAGTGGTGTTGTGATAGGATTATGTTATGTTGGTGTGGTGATGTGATTTACTTTGATGTGTTATGATAGTGTTGTGCTGTTATGATGGTATCAGTTTTTTGGAAAAAAACACTTATGTATAGTTCTGAACATTTATTAAAGGAAACTACTACTACTACTACTACTACTACTGTTGCTACTACCCACGCAACATTCCACCTGACTCCTACCAGTATATATACTCATTTTCTTAGTTATCTCTGTATCAGGACTGAAGGATCCACTCGTGGCGAAACGTTTCCTTTAATAAATGTCTTGAACTATACATAAATGTCTTTTTCCATATCTTGTTAGTATCGCCACACATTTCTCCTACGATAATTATGTTGTAGCGCAGACAAATCAATGGGTGGTGCAGGTCTTTGTATTTTCCGTCTGTGGGTAAACAATGACCACGATACTTTGTAACGCTCTCGAGGCTGGGAATAAGAGAATCCACTTGTGCCCGTTGTTATAAGGCGGAACCAAGAGCTAAGTTTCAACCCTTGCAGCTACAACTGGCAGAAAACAAACACATACACACAGATACATGTATATATAATATATATATATATATATATATATATATATATATATATATATATATATATTATATATATGAGAGAGATATGCCAAGATTTTGTACCCATTCGAAGCAAATAAAAAAAATGCGAATGAAGATGGGAACAGAGAATAATATTTTTTCGACCTAATTAGATAAGAGGATACGAACAGACAAAGCGGAAATGAGAGAGAACAAGAAGGTTGTATCCTCGATCAAGGTAGGTAGGTAGGAGGCGATGGTAGATGGAGGTAGATGGAGGTAGCATTGTTAATTAAGGTGACTTGCTCCTAGAGTACTAATTGCGCACCTGAGACACACACTTCCACCTAGACACTGGCGCATGATGAATAGTGATGTCAAGAATGTTGTTGCCTGCTAACAATGTCTCGCTCACACCTACCCTGGTGTATTATGTTGCATGGTCATGCTAACAATGTCTCGCTCACGCCTACCCTGGTGTATTATGTTGCATGGTCATGCTAACAATGTCTCGCTCACACCTACCCTGGTGTATTATGTTGCATGTTCCTGCTAACAATGTCTCGCTCACGCCTACCCTGGTGTATTATGTTGCATGTTCCTGCTAACAATGTCTCGCTCACGCCTACCCTGGTGTATTATGTTGCATGTTCCTGCCAACAATGTCTCGCTCACACCTACCCTGGTGTATTATGTTGCATGGTCATGCTAACAATGTCTCGCTCACACCTACCCTGGTGTATTATGTAGCATGTTCCTGCTAACAATGTCTCGCTCACACCTACCCTGGTGTATTATGTAGCATGTTCCTGCCAACAATGTCTCGCTCACACTACCTGGTGTATTATGTAGCATGTTCCTGCTAACAATGTCTCGCTCACACCTACCCTGGTGTATTATGTAGCATGTTCACGCCAACAACGTCTCTTACACCGTGTACACCATGCCTTGGCTCTGGTGTGCTGATGAGCCACTGTTTACACGCACAAGGGCTGGTCGATTGTATGATGCGAGGAGGAGGAGGGAAGTTGAGAATCTACCTCTACAAACAGTGGTAGATTAAAGAACAAGTAGAACAACCAGTGATCCGACAGGTAGATAAAAAGACACTTGAAACAGTGTGATCCCATATTATAAGAACGTTTCGCTCAAGAAAAACGAAACGTTGTTATAAAGAAGACTAACGCAGCTTCACGACGAGGTTGGAACCAACAGATGAAACCTTTCATATATATATTATATATTTATATCATTATATGATATCCTAATATATTATATTATATATATGTATAAAATACTAAAATATATATGTATATATATATATAATATATATTTATATATATATATATATGGTTATTAATGTTGTGCCGATACAGAACTTGCGATCTTGGCTTAAATAGCAACTGTTCATCTTGCCTTTATGGACAAGTGAAATTTGGGCTGTATGCAATAATTCGCCAAATCATTCTGAACCTAACGAATAAAAATATATTTCACTGTGTTTGTTTAGTATTAAATTATTGTAAACAAATCTAAAATGTAATTAGTTGGGTTAGGCTAAAATAAATTGTTCTTGTTATAATAAGGTTAGGTAAGTTTTCTAAGATTCTTTTGGTGAAAAATTAAATTTTTTTACATTAACATTAATGAAAAAAATATATCTTTAAAAGTATAAGAGAAATTTTTAGAAAGGATTTAATTTTAAATGAGTTCTTGCTAATTGGCCAGTTTTACATATTCGGCACGACATATATATATATATATATATCGTGCCGAATAGGTTAAACTTACTATTTTGACTTAAATAGCAACGCACTTCTTGCCGAATAAGACAAGCGAAAATTTGTGTATGCAATAATTTCGCAAAAATCATTCTGAACCTAACGAAAAAATATATTTTGTGTTTGTTATTAAATTACTGTAAACCTATATAATATATATTTAGTTCGATTAGGCTAAATAAAATTGCGCTTGTTATAATAAGGTTAGGTAAGTTTCCTAAGGTTCGTTTGATACAAAATCATTAATTTTTATGTTAACATAAGTGAAACAATATATCTTTAAATGTATGAGAAAATTTTAGAAAAGACTTAATTTTAAATGACCTCTTGCTAATTGACCAATTTTACCTATTCGGCACGACATGTGTGTGTGTGTGTGTGTGTGTGTGTGTGTGTGTGTGTGTGTGTGTGTGTGTGTGTGTGTGGAGAAAGGGATAAAGGTAATGAGATTTGATCAGAGGAGGGGGAAATGATCCCTTCATGGCTTTTGATCCAAGGAACTGGATCTGTTCTCCCTTTGGATCGCATCCGCTTGCCTCTCATTCCCCAGGCTCGCATGAGTTTAGCGCTTCCCTCTAAATATAACAAATATCAGGAACCACACTTAAAACCGCTACTTCTTACAGCAGGTTTGATCAGAGGATCTGGCGGTTAGCCTTAATTCCTTGGATCAAAAGCTCATTAACAAGCATTAAGTCACGGTATTGGCTCGCACACGAGCTGTCTCGAAGCAAAACTCACGGCGTAGATCCAGTAGTTGGGGTACAGAGAGAGAGAGAGAGCTCTAAAACAACTGGGAAAGACCCATATGATTATTTTCAGGGCTGTTAAATGCTGTAATTTCCATAAGAATGTATATAATGTGTATATAAGAGTGAACATAATGTGAACGTAACTGGCTGGGTGTTCGAACATAACTTAGTCAGTGTTCGAGAGAGGGAACGAGGCTCGTCTGAGAGAATGAATCCCCGAGATCATAACACGACGCTTCACCTGTCAGCTGTGTCAACACTGCTGCCTCTGTGTACCTCGAACTCCTCTATATCTCTGTGTATAGACATCAAGGCGTGTATATCTCTGTGTATAGACATCGAGGCGTGTATATCTCTGTGTATAGACATCGAGGCGTGTATATCTTGGTATAGACATCGAGGCGTGTATATCTGTGTATAGACACTGAGATGTGTATATCTTTGTGTACATACACAGAATTTATTTTAATAACTGTTTTATAGTTTATTGATGGTGTACTGGTGAAATGACCTACGTGTAGTCGATAGGCTTGAAACCAACCGTGTGATATAAAGGGATGGAGGTAAACCATGAATTTAAAGAATTGAATACAAGAGTTCCATATAACTAGCGTTGTATCACAATGAAAAGGTTAACTATCGGATATCTCAATTTCGGATACTTAACCCGTGCTTTACCTGTGACCAGAATTTTTCCACTTCCGCGGCCCGGCCGGGTCGCTCACCTTGGCCCGTCAACTAGGCCCGTCAACCTCGACTTCCTGGGTAAGCCCCATTTTTCTGGTAATTCACATTATCTACATTTTTTATTTGTGTGTGTAAGTCTGAGCCTATTTACGGGATTAGCGCCAAAGTGTCGCCTCGTAAAGAAGAGACCCGGGTTCGATTCCCAGGCGAATTTCCTTAGCCTCACAATACCGACTAATTGATAAGTTAGATAAATGTAGTGCAACAGCCGGGTATTTTTGTCGAAATGTTTCGCCTACAAGGCAGGGTTCTTCGGTCACGTACAGAGGATAATATAATAAATTGCAGGCAGCAGGCCTATTGGCGAGGTCACTCTTACACATGTAGGGGACAGGTATGTCTTACTTTTTCTACCTATTTCTTATTTGCCTAAAATTTCCTCTCCAGTTTAGGCCTTATGTGAGATCGGGCCGCGGGGGCCATTATCTGTGGGACATAAAACATGTACCAGGCCTCCATTAACCCACGTTAAAAAAAAAAAAAAAATATCATAGTTTATATGAGAAAAGGCTCCAGCTGTGAATTTTTTTGTCTGTTAATTTCTTGGTGGACGAGTTGACCACAAAATCAAATTTTCAAAAATTCATCTCGGGGATATAATTTTTTTTCTATTTCAGCGCTCTACACGTTAAATATATGAAAAGCCGCCGACAAATTTTGGATAATTGAGTGTAAAATGTAAACTATAATTATTTTAGATGTGCGAAATTCACTGCCCTAAAAAGCCTAATGCTTCTCATGAATTATTATTAAAAAAACCTAAAAGTGATCAGGCTGTTTACTAATTTTTATTTCTTCTCTCTTCTCGTCTTCCCACAACCTTTATCTCTGGTCTGTCTTATCCCAGTTGTTCTTCTCTCTCCTTGTTTATTATTACAATCATAACCCGGAACATCTCTCATTTTTATACTCACACCATGAGAAACCTTCTGTTACACAAATCAATTTTACAGGCCAAGAGCTGTTATCCTTCCTCAGATCATTTCAAAACCCAGTCCTATCTGAGGTATATTACCACCCGCTAAACCCACAAGTCAGTTTTTTTTTTTTTTAATCCGGAGATTCGATCCCTGAGTCCCAGTAGTCAGAGGTGTGAACTAGGCTACAACATAGCTGAATGGCTATACTCCGTCCTGTGAGCAAAAAAATGTGGTTGAAAATGTGATATTTTAAATCTTTTGTACCATATTATGTAATAAAATATACCTATTGGTAAAAAAAATGAAAAGATGGGGTGGTAGAAAGTGGAATATTCAAATAGTTTCAGGAAGAAATCCAAATGTTCTTTCTCGAAGCCTTTTTACCCATTTCTTAAAACATAGAATTTAAATTTTAATACGGTACACCGTTCAGCCTAGTTGAATAGCTATATATATCCTTGCCTGTGGTCAAAGGCTTTTTCGGATCACTAAAGTGAATATCCTCTAGTCTTGAGATCGATGTTGTAACCTAACGAAGCAAAGAAAGCTTTTAAGATTGAGCGGAGTTCTCCAAACTCTCAGTACGTACGTACGTACGTACGTACACACACACACACACACACACACACACACACACACACACACACACACACACACACACACACACACACACACACACACACACACACACATGCAAGAAAGCTTGCTCTCAGGATACATTGAGGCAGTTTATAAAATACTGATCATAAGCTAAGAAAAAGATAGCATCAATGACTGCATTAGTTTCCAGGTTGTCCAGAAGGCGTTAAATTTCTAGTGGTCACGCAAATACTTTGTGGGCGGTTAATTATTAACCCACTGGGTTAATAATTTTAATGAATTGTTTATGTGCCTGTGTACCTTTTATTGTATACCTCCGTACCTTTGTGTACCTTTTATTGTGTACCTTCATACCTTTGTACCTGTGAACCTTTATGTATCTTTATTGTGCATCAGTGAATTTTTGTATACCTTTGAGTACCAGTATACCTGTATTGTGTACCTTTGTACCTGTATACATTTGTGTGTCTACCTGGAGGGTATTCCGGGGATCAACGTCCCCGCGGCCCGGTCCATGACCAGGCCTCCCTGTGTACCAGCTATAAGCTATCCCCTAACACTGTTTCCGACCAGAAAGCTTACCTCTGCTGACGAAAGTAATGATAGTGTCTGCTGCAGTCACTGTCTCCTGTGGGTGGCATCCATGTTAGCGGAATGAGCTTGACCGTGCTCATCCAGGGTGTCGTAAACTCCCCTGAGCCAGGTGGGTGCAGATCCGTGGGTGTGGTGGCCCCGCATGCGGTGGTGGTGTCCACCTGTGGTGGGCGGTGGTCCGGGAAGGTCCAGCACGTCCAAGATATCTCTAGCGAGCTCTGCCGCCTCTTCCGAACCCAGGTTATCGGCCAGGACCGTCCTCCCGTTACCGTCATCCATCCACACGCCCACACCGGCCCCACATACGCCAATCACCGCCCACGTTAATGCTGCCGTCAGCATCGGCTGTCCAGGCGTCGCCTTCCACCCATCCTGTTTACGTTTCAGTGTTTTAGGTCTGGTGTTAATTTAATGAGTGAAGACGAGCATGCTGATACTGCTGCTGGTGGTCACCGCTCAAACACAAACCGAGACTCCGGACTCTTTTTCTACAAGCTGGTAAATACGACTTGCCATTATTTTATCCAATAAAAATGTGTGACGATTATTTTGATAAGTGAAAACGAGCGCGAAAATTGTTTTTTTAGACATCGTTCCCTGCCACACATTTGAATCCCACTGGAAATAAGCCACTTTGAATTTTTCTTGGGCTATCCTACGTAATTTACACATGTTGCTATGCATGATAATTGTACTTATGTGCACCTGTATCTAAATAAACGTAGTAAAATACGAAAAAATTCCTCGAAAGGCTAGACTTGGAAAATCTTGGAAGGAATGGTCCCAAATCTGCACACAGAAATCACTCCCTACGAAAGTAAAAGACTGGGCAGGCGATGCAAAATGCCGCCAATAAAAAGTAGGGGTGCCATTGGTACACTAAGAGAAAACACCATAAGTGTCCGGGGCCCAAGACTGTTCAACAGCCTCCCATCAAGCATTAGGGGAATTGCCAATAAACCCCTGGCTGCCTTCAAGAGAGCTGGACAGATACCTAAAGTCAGTGCCGGATCAGCCGGGCTGTGGCTCGTACGTCGGACTGCGTGCGGCCAGCAGTAACAGCCTAGTTGATCAGGCCCTGATCCATCGGGAGGCCTGGTCATGGACCGGGCCGCGGGGGCGTTGATCCCCGGAATAACCTCCAGGTAACTTCCTGACAAATAGGACTCAAATAGTAATACTAAACAGTAAAATCATGGACGGCTACAGTAAAAAGCTAGGTTCCACAAGGCACAGTACTCGTTCCCATCCTGTTCCTCATCCTCATATTTGACACAGAAAGAGATGTTAGCCACAGCACCGTGTCCTCCTTTGCGGATGACACCCGAATTTGCATAACAGTAATCCATCGAAAATACTGCAAATCTCCCAGCGGACATTAACCAAATCTTTAACGGGCTGCAGAAAACAATATGAAGTTCGATGAAGACAAATTTCAATTACTCTGCTATGGAAAACTCAAGGAAATTAAAACTGTATTGGAGTATAAAACATTCCAACCACACAATAGAGCGAAAAAACTAATGTGAAGGACCTGGGAGTGATAATGTCAGAGAATCTGCTTTCAAAGGTCACAATGTATCTACCACATCTGCTAGGAAAATGATAGGATGATAATGAAAATCTTCAAAACTAAAGATGCCAAGCCCATGATGATTTTCTTCACATCCCTTGTTCTCTCTAGGCCGGAGAATATTGCTGTATACTAACGGCCCCTTTCAAGGCAGGCGAAAATGCAGATCTTGAGAATATACAGAGGACTTTCACTGCACGTATAGGTACGATAAAGCACCCAAATGACTGGGAACGGTTTAAGTCCCTTGATTTGTACTCCAATGAACGTAGGTGAGAAAGATACATGATAATCTGCACGCGAAAATCTTCCCTACTAAAGAAGACTGCAGAAGATACAACATCCCGCCTCCCCCCCAGGAGGCCCACGAGTACGCTAAGAGAACACAATAAGTGTCAGCGGCCCAAGACTGTTCAACTGCCTCCCAGCATACTTAAGGGGGGTTACCAATAGACCCCTGGCTGTCTTCAAGAAGGCGCTGGACAGGCACCTAAAGTCAGCAATAGTCTTAACTTTTCCCCACATCCAGAGGGGCACCTTAATGCTGCTGAAGGTTATTGATCTTTGAAATTAGATCTCCATATGAATTTGATTAGCTCTCATTTCCCTCGCGTGTTTACGATTCCCACCTGAGTGGAAATGGCATTACCACCAATTCCATTCACAGGCAACACTAACTGCGGTACGTCTCTAGCCAAGGTATTTTAGTTTTCCAAACTCACAACTGCACCAAACAGCACTTTCCATTTATTTAAGTCCTGTTCACTTAGAGGCATGCAAGTACACATGTTCTCTACACATTTCTTCCCTCTTTATATCCTAATAATTTTTCCAGTTCTGTCTTTTCCTGTCACTGTTACTATGCGCGTGTTTCTATCACTGTCACTGTAATAACTGTTACTCACTGTATGTGTTGCCGTAATAGTGTGACGTTATGAATGTCACTGTAAATGATGTCTCCGTGTGTTTGTTACTTTAAAACGTAACTGTATCACTGTTAGCGTAATAACTTCGTTACTGCGCCACTGTATCAGTGTCAAGGTCTCTGACTGTACCACTTATTCACTGGTACCAATTTAACACTGTTCTAGGGCATATTTCTCTCCTGTCGCTAAGTCAATATAACTGCACCAATGCATTAACATATCACCGTGTGATTACTCCACTGTAACATTTATCACTGCGCCATCGGGACACCCTTGCCGCTGTACTATTGTCCCACGTCCCCACTGAAACCACTCTCCCTCTGTAAGATGGTCAGAGAAACACTCAGGGCACCGAGATTCATGTAATAACAAGGCTATGGGAGATTATAATTTCCACTGTGGTCCAGACTGAGGGAGGCCAGACACAACAAGGTTCTCTCCTGCCTGGCCCAGCTGACGGGTACCACTGACGGTTTCCAACCTCTCCTCTTGTCTCTTCCTCCTCCTGTTCTTCGTCCTCGGTTCTTCCTGCCTGCCTCTTCTGCAGCTGTACCTTTTCGGATTAAGGTCTAGCTGTGTATGCGTACGTATGCATGTGTATATCTGTGTTTGTGCGCGTGTGAAACGTGATCAGGGTGATGATGTAAAAAATCTTGAAAGACATTAGTTGACTCGTTGATGAATGAATGGCATTAGAGATACTGCCTTGGAATTTGTTGGTTAGGACTTGCCTGTATTAAGCTAATATACTCAGCCATGTACTCGAAGAGCGTTAGTCCAAACAGATCGTCCATAGACGTGGGAAAGGGCACTGAACGAAGCATTTAGGAACAGCACGAAGTTTGGGAGAAATTAAACAGTAGCGAGAGACAGAGAAACAGGCAGAGAGAGAAGAAATCTGCCGAGGAGTGGTCAGGATGACCCACCTTCTCTAGTCTCCATTCCAGGCTACGTCCCTGACACCCAGAAACCTAGCCCAGTGTATCCCAGCCCCGCAGCACCAACCTTGTAAATACTATAGTCTGCCTGACTGCCTCGAGAGATTGATCTTGGTACGCCATCTCCGGTGAGTTGGGTACCAGTGGTGATGGGCATTCTCATACCCGGGCAGCAGCAGAGGCTTTGTGCCCCAGGTTAAACGGGTGGTTGCCAGTGTCACCTAAATAAACAAAAGTGCGTGCACGTGTGCGCGCTCGTACACACACACACACACACACACACACACACACACACACACACACACACACTGAAAGTGGTAATAGTGATGTACAACTCGCCACTAAATACCAGGAGACCAAGACAGTGATTCGATGATAAATGGATGGCAGAAGTGACTGGGATTTTTTTTTTTTTTATTTTGACGCCAAAGCAAATAATTTATTGTTCACCCATATCCATCCTGTGGATGGTAGCTGCGGGTTTGTGCACCCCATATCCATCCTATGGACTGTTGCTACTAGTTTATATGCCCCATATCCATCCTACAGACGGTAGCGCGAGAGCTCAGAGATACACTAGACGCCTGATTATGGGAAACTAATAAAAAATAGTTTGGAACAACTGGGAAACACTTCTAGAAATTAGGAAACTTGAAGGACTGTGATGATGGGGGCGATGAGAAACTCCGTGACAAGTCAGACACAATAGGCAGCCTACAAGTGTAATAGGACAGCAATAGGACAGCTGTGACAGCAATAGCGGCCAATTGTGAGCTGAGACCATGAGCTGAGACTCGACCCTTACACACACAACCCGCACACAGGGAAGAGGAGCGACCGAGGACGTTCCACTCCGACTTGGACCATCTTCTGTGTTGTGACTGTAAATGGTCCAAGTCGGACCGAAACGTCGTGGTCAGCTTCTCTCTCATATGTGCGGGTTATTTGTGTATTGTTTCAGTCACGGTATTGTGCCTTTTTGTACTTTAATCGACCTTTGCAATAACCCCATCCCCACACGCACGCACGAATGCAAAGACGCACACGCACGCTACAAATATTCGCAACTGGTAGGAGAGAGTATCGTAAAAACATGGGGTTTAAAAATCCAGGAGAGGGACACGTGGAAGCTACATGGAGGTCGTTCCAGGGGGGCCAACGCCCCCGCGGGCCAGGTCCCCGACCAGGCGTCCTGGTGAATCACGGCCTGATCATCCAGGCTGTCTCATCTGAAGACACAAATGAGACTAAAGGAATGTTGTTTGACGAGGTGGAAAAAGGAAGGAGCCACCGGGACACCTCAGTAATAAGGGAGCCAAAAAAAATCACAAAGTATTACGGACAGTTCCAAGTGTAGTAAGCCAAAATGGAGAGGGTTTCCGGGGTCAGCGCCCCCGCGGTCCGGTCTGTGACCATTTAGCTTTATTAGATCAAATCGAAATGTGTATTTGTTTGCATTATGGAGGTATTGATCAAATGTTTTAAGGGAACAGAAATTTAAGACCGTCATGGGCACCCGAGTTACAGGGTTGAATCCTGTTGTTCCATGACTCTAATTCTCACTTCTCTCTCTCACCATCTGAAATTTGCAATCGACTTTCGTCCCTTCACAGAGTGAGTGAGTTAACACTTTAGCCATGAAAGATTTCCTTTTTTTTTTATTTAAGCCCACATCTATCAACACTTGAAAACACACTTCACGAATTAACCTCTTCATTCACCTTTTTTTACTCGTTATGGCTCGACATAATTCCCCCCTTCATGTACATCATACATACTACAGAGCCACACTCCACAACAAGTATAATGATAATGTGCTCCCCAGCAGTAGTGGACCTACATTTTTGGGGCCCTGAAGCTTGAACTGTTTTGGGTCGCCTCCACAACCAGTAACATCTGGCCTACATGATAGTTAAAATAAAAATTATAAAGTTATTAAAATATCATTTTGTACTGAATTACATTGTATTATTATTAAAAAAAAACCTCGCGCATTAAACCCAAAATTTTTAGGCAATGTGGGCTTAAGCAATGGGGCCACCTCGGGTATTAGGGTTCCTGAAGCTTAAGCTTCATTAGTTACACAGGATATTCTCTGCTCTCCAGGTTACCTAATTACTACTCCCTCTGTATACCCAGGAATGGAAGCAGCCTTGCATTACCTCACTACACTGGTCATCTGTGTAATTAAGACCAGTGTCTGGAGACACTTGTCCTGACCCCTGACGAATGTTATAACAAACCTGGCAGACTGAGTCTGAAACATTCACTGTCAGAAAATTACTAGTATATGTGAAAGAAGTTGACCTAAGTACATTTGGTAGACGGGCACCTCCTGCTTCGCCTCACCTGACTACAGTATACAAGCCACTGCTACGGTCATATGCTGTACCATATCCTCCTCCTCACTAGTGTCCATAGTTATGAGTACATATGGTGCTGTCGCTTATGAGATGCACCAGGTGAACTGACCAGAAGAATGCTTGAGAACCATACGTCGCATCATTGTAGAAACCTTTCTCCCTCGGGAGCCAGAGACGGGTCATCGCAAGATTGAGACCCGTGCCAGGACTACGGTCTTGGCCAACATTATGCATACATACATATGCTGTACATACTACAAGACTGATGGACTGAACACGTCGACTCCAGGCTGAGGGACTGATAACCTTCCTGCTTTGTATAAGTCTATGCTACGGTCTTGTACAATCAAAGCTCTAGCGCCTACAAGCCACATTTGCCCCAAAATAGTCATAACTAGCCCAAAAATCGGAGAGGAGGCCTCACACAATGTTTCAGTCCATCCTGTTCCATTATCAATCAATTCAATCAATCCTGTTCCATTATCAATGGTCCAAGACGGATCAGAACCAAACAAAAAATTTCCTCTCCGAATGATGGGTTAACAGATATAAATCCCTTCCTTGACACACAAACACAGACTCGAGAACGTAATCCATTAACAACTGCAGTTACTTTATCATAACTTTTCAGAGAGTTAGACTCGTGGGAAGCTGTCGCTTGAAAGTTTTGAATAAATATTATAACGTTGTGTGTGTGTGTGTGTGTGTGTGTGTGTGTGTGTGTGTGTGTGTGTGTGTGTGTGTGTGTGTGTGTGTGTGTGTGTAGCAACGCCTTGATGCTGGTGAAGGGCTTTTGATTTAAGGCATTGGGGCAACCTACCTGGAGGATGGTGTGGGGGTCAACGCCCCCGCGGCCCGGTCCTTGATCAGGCCTTCCGGTGGATCAGGGCCTGATCAACAAGGCTGTTACTGCCGGTCACACGCACTGTCCACAGGTACTAGCATACGTCCAGCAGGTACGGAAATGCGTCCACCAGACCTTCCTCCAGTGACTTGTACTCACTGGAGCGCAGGCGAGAGAGATGTATCATAATCTACACCTGGAAGATTCTGGAGGGACTGGTCCCTAACCTGCACACAGAAATCACTCCCTACGAAAGCAAAAGACTTGGCAGGCCATGCAACATACCCCCAGTGAAAAGTAGGGGCGCCACTGGTACACTAAGAGAAAACAGTGTCCCAAGCCCAAGACTGTTCACCAACCTCCCACCGGCCGTAAGGGGAATTACCAATAGACCCCTGGTTGTCTTCAAAAGGGAGCTGGACAGATACCTAAAGTCAGTGCCAGATCAGCCGGGCTGTGGTTAGTACGTTGGACTACGTGCGGCAAGCAGTAACAGCCTTGTTGATCAGGCCCTGGTCCACCAGGAAGTCTGGTCATGGACTGGGCCGCGGGGGCGTTGATCCCTGGAATGCCCTCCAGATAGACTCCAGGTAGGTAGCAGGTACTGGAATGCTACCAGCAAGTACTGGAATCCTTCCAACATTTACTGGAATATTAGAAGGCACTGGAATACCTCCAACAGGTTCAGGAATGCTACCAGCAGGTAGAGAGAGAGAGAGAGAGAGAGAGAGAGAGAGGGGGGGAGAGAGGGGGGGGTAGGTAGGTGGGGTTGGTCAAGGTGAACCTGCCCCTCGTCAGGTGAGAGGGGGTTGCCAGATGCCACTTTGTTTACACTTCACCTTCCAACTCCGATATTTAAATCGGTGCGGATACAACAGCGTGGCTGAGTTACAGCCATTGATGTAGTCATATGGATTAGTTACAGTTGCTGCAGCCATTTGGCTGCTGTTGCAGCCAAATGGCTGCAGGTCCAACAATTTAGCCTAAATGCAATTATTGGCACAGCCATCAGGCATATTTACAGCCACATGTGGAAGTGACTTGGTTACAGCCACGAATATAACCAGATAGTTCAGTTACAGCCACGGGTGCAGACACCGAACTAGGCTGTGGGTAGACATATAGCCTGATTACAGCCGCTGGCAAAGCCATGTGGCTTATTTTACAATCATGTGGCTTAGTTGTAGTCAAGTGTACAGGTACAAGACTTGCTTTAAGACAGAGGTACACGAGTTTTATTATGGGAGAAAGAAAAAAAATGAAGGTAGGAAAGAGGAGGAGAAAGCGAGAAAGGGAAGACTTGAAGTACAACGCGAAACATTAAAACACAAGTAATTCTGCTGTAGGCCTAATTGTCAGGGATATATTAGGTCTAGTACTTCTCACCAGCAACGCAATAAGCTTGTTGAATTGACTGTGAGAGCCAAAGGGGGTTTAGTTACAGTCTTGACTAAGTCAGAGACGCTATGTGGCAGTTTGGTCCACTCTTCT